TCATAAAAATATTCAAATTTAGCTATTTCTCAAATGGTATTAAATTACTTACAACTGGCTCTGCAAATTCATACCTTCTCAACTAACAGCTGTAAATTAATCAGAAATACTCATTAAAATAAGATAATGTATGAAGTATTTTTTCCTAAATACTTTCTAGAGTCACAAAATAACTAATGCTGATATTTTATATAGCTATCTTTTTTTTTTTTTAAAGATTTATTTATTTGTGCGTACAGAACTGGGGTACAGGCCAGAGGCTCGGGACGGTGAGAGGCTTCACCAGAGACAGAGTGGGGAGCAGAACAGGCAGATCGACGAAGTACACTGCTGAAGGGAGCAGCGGGCAGGTCAGGAGAGGTCTGCCACACCATGTGGTCACCTCCGGGGCAGGCGGGAATCGAACTCATGCGGAAGTGGCTTTAGATTCTCAGTGCAGTGCTTTAACCCGCTGCGCCACCAGGGAGGGCCATAGCTAGGCATTTTTAACAAAAATCAAGAAAAAGAAAATGAGTAGTTTAGTATTATGCGTTATTTAATCAGTTTCATTTGAGGTAGTTAACAAATTCTTCTCTGAATTGAAATGGTAGAGCTTGTAAAAAATGTATTTCCCATACTTCATCCAATTTGAAACTTTCTAAAAATTTCAATAATTTTCTTGAGCTTAAGATGCTCTAAAATTACCTTCTTCAAATGAAGAAATGTTTTAAGGTACTGGGGGAAGATAAATGTATTACTTAGTTTCTTTTTTTTTAAGATTTATTTATTTATACATATAAGAACTGGGGCCAGAGTGGAGAGCTGGTCAGAACAGGCAGATATAGTGAAATAAATTGCTGAGGGGAGTAGGGGGCAGATCAGAAGAGGTCTGCGATGCCATGTGGGTCACTTCCCTGGCGGGAAATGATCAAACTTGTGCTGCAGTGGCTGAGGATTGCTTCATAATGCTGCACTTTAACAGGCTGCACCAGGGAGGGCCCTATATCACTTAATTTCTTAGAAGAAAAGATATCACTTAATTTCAATTAGTAAAAAATTGATGACTCAGTAAGAATGAAGTACAGCATTACGCCTATCTTATGGAAAGTTTCATACCAACAAAATTTAATATAACCTTTTTTTTTTTTTAAAAAAACAACAGAGAACCCAAAGGTCAATTAATCTCCCACAATCCAAAATTCTTCCAGCAAAATTCTTCCAAGTCTCTTCCTTTCTAAAACGTATATCAAAAATCTATTTCTTCTTTGTCACTGATTAGATATACCTCCATAGACAAACCAGTAAATCCTGCTACTAACACCTACCTCAAATCTCAATCTTCATGGCCATACCATTCCATATTCACTGATGTCAATTCTTCTAAAATCCATGGGACCTTACAAATGTCCTAGTCATATTCTTCCATCTGCTCTCAAATATTCTTCCTTCTTTGTCTTCAATTAAAACCCCAAATGACACAAGCTATGCAACTTCTGTTGCCTGACAAATTCCGGATAGAAAAGGAAAAGCTCTGAAAAATCAGAATTTCCATGCTAGCTCATGTTATGACCCCCCTTTTTGTAATATCAAAATATTCTGAGCAACCATTAGCTTGCAAACAGATTACCTTAGCCTCATAAGGCGCAACCTGGCCCAGGCAAGCAAACGCTGCTCCAGGGCGGGAAATTGACAACAGTGGGGAAATAGTTATAAAACAGCACTAACTGTGCCCACTATAAAGGTATGCTATACAATAATGTTTTGCTCACTGCTATGTCTATAGTATGGTAAAGGGCACTTCATCACAAGAATATGTTCTGGGAAATACATGTTTAACGATCTGTGATAGTGTGAATGTCACAGAGTATAATTACAAACCTATCAGATAGTATCATCTACTACCACTCCTGTGTTATACAGTATTGTTTACTGGGATTGCCATCAGATATGCTATCCACTGCTGATCAAAACACTGAGACACAGGACTCTACTCTATCGTCATTAAGTAGCACACCAGTCACTCACATATGTAAGATGAAGGCAATATACCCCTTGATAGCTTCTTACTGAATTCTTTAGGGTTATCTTTCCTAAGCCTTCCATTTTTTCCCCAAGTCTCAAATATACTTGCCTTCTTCCCAAACTGTCAAATCCACTATTGAGAAAACCAAGATCTTCTATGATCTTCTAATGTGAGTTAATGCAATTGCCCTGTATTTTTATTCCATCGTATCCATCTGATATGTTAAAAGGAAAATGACTAACTTTATAACTTTTTGAACTTTACCAAGTATCTACCATACACTCTCATGTCAGAACTCACACACACACACACCTTTCCTGAGTTCCACGTTTCCCATACCATTATTATATTCTTCTTAAAAAAAAAACTACAAAAAACCCTGAGTTATAACTACAATATAAGTCAACTGCCAATCTGTGTTTTCTTATAACAATCAGCTTATTTTATAAGGGAGCTGAAAATCTTGTCTGCTTTTTTAGAAAGTAAAGACAAATTATATTTTGAAAATGGACTGTCTTAGCTTTAGGAGAATTAAATTCAAACTCGTAGGTTGAAAACAAATGAAATATCTCCAACCTCCAACTTTTAACAAAACTGTCTTCTAATTTCTGAGCGTCACTGAAGTAACTTCTGAAGTGTCCTTAGTAACTACTTAACTTCCCTTAATGAACTTACACTGACTGTTTTCAGATGATCAGAGAATATCTTTATACAGGCAGCTTTTGACAATATTCATAGAAACTAATCTTTAAAGTAATTTTAGATAGTTAAAAAGGACAACACCAAAATTCCAGTCAACAGTCAAGCTCAAAAAGTGGAATAATTTGTAAATAATTAAAACAACCAATTAAAAGTTGTGAAAGATGACTTAAGATTGAATAGGCTTGGAAAGGGTATCTTTGCTAGCTGTTAACAGAACAAAATCAAACTCAAATAGGCTGAAGAAATTCTGTGAAGACAGACATTTCAAAAGCTATTACATAAATTAATCATTAGAAATGGCATTGCTCTTTTCTAATAAAAGTATGAAGGCAGTACAAACTGACTGCCAAAAAGCAGTACCAACAGGACAGCAAGCCCAGACCATTTGCTAAGAGGGCCCTAACCCACAAAGTGGGATTTTGATAGCAGTCATCATTTTAGTCTTCTTTGGCTGTAATATAAAGGGCAATATATCAACATGTCAAATTACCTGGTTAGAAACTAGTTTTTGCAGCTGAGAAACAGCTCCTTTCCTGCTTCACACTTCAAAGCTGTTGCCTGCTTATAATTAAAAGAGACCACTTCAGTAAGTTCTTTACTTACACTACTAAATACAGAATACTATATTTATAACCTAATAGGCATTTAGATAATCAACAGAAAAAAATCCAATTTACCAATCTCTGAAATTCAAATTACTGCAATCTTTGTGGGAAACTGCAATAAAAAAATGTTCATACCTCCAAACCTTTAAGATCCCACCAAAGAATGAAATAATTTCTTAATATCTACTCTGAAATATGAAAATGGTCAACCCCAGCTATAATTTCAAGATCCTAATTAACCTCTACTCTCCTGATTGACTGACACAAAGTCATTAATTTCCTATCACTCAAACTACTCACGAACATTGTCTAGCTATGATGAAAGGGGTTTATTTAACAGCTAGCTACTTCTTAATAAAATAACCTTGCCACTGCATAAAACACGGTTTACCCCAGTACGATGGGTTTTCAGTGGCCTCACTGGGTAGGTGATAGGAAAAGAAGCAGGTGTACCCGAAGCTCTACAACACCCACTCTAGTAACCTGAGAATACCAGAGGGCGGAGTCTGGAAGGCAGTTAAGGGGTGGGGGTGCTAGGGGCGCCCAGAAAGCCCGCTTCTTCCAGCGCCGAAACACCAACCCTTACCCACAGGTCACCCGACACACACACCAGAACTGGTCAAAACCATTTTGTTAAAAAAAAACCCACGCCATGAGGAGTGGGAGCGAGGTGAAATCTGGATGACCGTCTCTCGAGCTGGGCGCAATACCAAATCCCCAGTTTTTCCAAAGCAGACAACATTACCAAGTAGCATTTGACATTTAACTTTCTACAATCTTAGGCTCCTTCTAAATGGAACTGCAGTGAGGGATACAGAGGGGCGCAATGTGGAGAGGGAAGGAAAAGCTATTAAATTAACATTTCCTCCCAAGTATAAGCCCCTGTCAGCCGTGGACTGCCCTTCAGCTCCAATAGTCGAGACAGCAGAAATCCTGCTGCTCTTAGCCCAACCCAAAAGTCGAGTCGCACCTGACCCGCCTCCACCCAAATTTTGGACCTTGAGACCTCCACGATGCAACCTGGAAGACCAGGTGGGACCAGCGTCACGACGAACACTAAGGCCTCCGGCGGTGAGAATCTGACCCCCTGCTTGTGGCAACCCGATCAAGGCCCCGCTGCGCTCCCTCCACTGCCAAGGGGGCATTCCCGGAGCCCGACGGCCTCCTCCCCCCACAGAACTAGAGAGGGGCGGGGAGGCAAGAAGGGGATTCTGCAGACCCAGTGCCAGCTGCTCACCCGGGAGAGTCGTTCCGTCGGGGAGAGGGGGTGGACTGCGAGCCTAGAGAATGCGAAGACGGCAACAAGAAGACCCAGGGGCCCACAGGGAGGCGTGGGCCCCAGGCCAGAGCCCATAGGCTCAAATGTCCCACAGCCGTTGCTCTCCCGCCCCAGCGCCGCGCCGCCTCTGTTGCCAAGGGCTGAAGACGCGCAGGTATTACCTGTAGACGAAGCGGCCGCTCCTGCCGAGGCCGTGCGGCGGAAGCCCCCACGAGCCGCCACCGACAGCGGCCCTCCCGTAGAGATCGCAGCAGGGAGAGTCCACAAGTTCCCTGACTGCCTGGGCCCAATGGCCGCCTTTTCTACCTTAGTTACTCGGCGCCAACCGCCGCAGCCACCGCCATCTTAGGATCTCATTGTGGTGGGAGAAGAGGGGCGGGGGGACTGCAGAGGGGGCAACGCGCGGTGACACATGCGCCGTCTCCTCGGCAACGACCGCGCGAAGGCGAGAACTCGGGGCGGGAGCCGCAGTGCGATCGCGGCACTAGTGCGGTCATGTGACCCGCCGGAGCTTGTGGTGTGTCTCCTCCGGCTCCTTAGCCAGACGCCAATTACACAGATGAACAGAGACTACATATCCCAGAATGCCAACTCAACCCCGGATTATAAACGAGGGCTCGCCTGGGGGTTGGGGGTGGGGGTGGGGGTGGGGTAGTGATTGTGGAATGTGACTACAAATCCCAGCATACCTTGCGTTTCCCAGCGCGCATCGAACGAGGGACTGAGGCCTACACGGAAGTGCTGCTACGGTCCACTATCTACTTCC